TGTTGGTCAATGCAGTGCCACCATTGCTCAGTGTGTTCACAATTTTTAACAGGAAAGCATTTTACTCAAAGACTTGCAGAACTTCCTTCCTGCAAGATTTCAGTAGCGCAGAGCGTATTGCTAGAGGAAATTACTGACAATAAACGTGTAGCTTTAAGTCTAAGCTTGCCTGGCACTGAATTTACTGAAAAATGATGTTATGGAAATTAACATGAATGAACTTTTCCTGATGTTAATTTTTAAAACGTTCTATTTTTAAATAAATTCATTGAGAAGAACAAGAACTATTTTCCTGGCTAAGAAAAATAACTATCACATAATGATAATAACGATCAACAGTCGATCATTTGTTATGTCCTAGACCAAATGTTAGGTCCCCTATAAAACTTTATCTAAATCTTCCAACAATCCAGAAAGGAGCCCCATTCATTATTTCCACTTTGGAGATGAGAACAAAGCTCAAAGCCTTTAAGCTGCCATTACAATAACAGCAATTAGTGAACCTTTACTTTTAAGTTGCTCCTGGGAAGAATCATGACTGGTTCCCTAGAATACAACAGGGTCACTAACCAATTTTTGTAAATGTAATTCTTAGAATTCTCTTTAGAAAACAGTAACTCCTGAGGTACATTACTGTTAAGTGTTTCCAAGGGAACTTGCAGCTTAACAAAGCAGTATAAGGTGCTTGGGTAACAGCTGGCCCATGTTGTCGTAATGATGCCTAACTTCCTGTTGCCACTCCACTTGATCACTAAAATAAAAGTATCTTTAAAAGGCAATGTTTCGGTTTCCTACATGCAGGTAGCTCAGTTGTTGGGTCATGACTAATTAAGTAGAAATCATTCTCCCTCCTACTTACCACACTTCTGTTCAGTCATTCCCATCTCAGGATCGTTGCCAAGGTAACAAGTGTCCCAACCCCATGAGTTCCCAGTACTTCCTGTTTCCATCTTCTCATGGGATGTAATGGCAGACATTTTAAATCAGATCAAGATGGTTCAATACTTTAAATCAGGAGTGAATGAACACTAATGTCTCTTTACTGTACTTTCACGAAGTGATTCCTGTATCTGAATTTTGCCTGCAGTCTTACCACAAAGAGTTAATTTTTTACAGTTAAAATGCATGCACACACACA